TACACACAGAACAAGTTCCAGGAATGTGGTGACTTTCTCCTTGGAAGACTTCTGCCTGGAAATCTGCTAAATACCATATTAAACAGAGTCAAGAGTCCATCAAGCCCTGGCAAGCTTATACTAACCAGAGTTTCACTCTAACCCACAATGGAATTACAATGAAAATGTACTTAGCTGGGGAAGAACTTCAGATAACTATACTATGTTATAAAGGCTTTTCAGAATCTACTTCATTTTTCTAACGTTGATCATTTGTGTGTGAAACCAACATACATTTAGTATACTCCTGGTGTAGACCACAAGACACCTCCTGCCAAGCATTTTCTCTCTATCCTGCAGGAATCTCTGTAAAACATGCACAAGATTAAGGTGCAGACTCCAGAATGAAAGTTCAGTCCCTGAAAAAGTAGTATACCAGTTAACTATTACCACAAAAATGCTGCTTAACAGGTTACCTCCAAAACTGAGGAACATACAAGAAGAAGAATTTATTTTCAAGTACCTAAGTCCACAGCTCTGCTGAGGCAGCTCAACCTCATGTTATGGGCTTGAGTTGGTTGGGGGAACGCTGTTTCCTATGCCATTCATTCTTCTGCACCAGTGGAGAACCCAAGTAATATCATATTCATGGCAATGCAAAAACTCAAAAGGACAGGTTAAAACCCAAGCTTTGGAGTAAAGTCCGTGCCATCATCAAGTCCACTAACATCCCACTGCTCAAATATCTAAGTGCCACAAGCTAACACACTGAGCCACTGGCGCTCCCCACTGGCCAAATACAAATTTATATTATACTGTATTAATAAAACCATGAAACTGTGGAAGGAAGAGAGGGGGGCCATTGGAGAGGAGAGGCGAGGAGGGAAGAAGAGGAGAGGGGAGTGAAAGAGGAGGTGAGCGAAGAGGACAATAAGAAAATTCCAGAGAAAGACAAGACAAAAACGAAATTGTTCAAATACAATGTGTTTCCTACTTCTTGAGACTGGCATTTCTTATATGGTCATCCCAAATCTATTCTCGATGGCTTACAATTTCTCATATGAAAAAGACTGTAAGCCCCTGTGAGAATCTCTGCAAGAATTCTCTCTACAAGGAAAATGTGTGTATACACATCTTTTTTAAAATCAGGCAGATCAGAAACTTCCTAGCATTTGAAACTTGAACATAAGGACCAAAACTGAAATTGGTAAGAGTTCTATGTGGTTCCCTTGCAGGGGCTGTCTCATGATGACTTCCCGTTTCCTCAGAGTTGCTCCACATTTTCACCCTCAGAAATCCGCTCCTCCACATCTCCTTCAACTCTGAATCACCCTTTGGTCCTACTAATAAATAAATGTTTTTACCTAAGTAGTCAATTGATTTCTGTTGCCCTTGGCCAAAGAACTGTGTAAGGCACAGGTCCTTTTTCCATGTTCTATTCTCTAAGGAGATGAGAGGGCTCTAAAGATGCATTAAGGTAAAAAACAAGGCAGGCCAACACTCGAGAATCTAGAATCTAAAATTATTTCATGAAAATGACTGTTACTATGGCAACCTTTCAGCATGTATTCAAGTAATTTTATATTAACACTTTAATGAAACCTGAACTACATGGCTTATTTAGCCTGGATTCCTTTTTAAATAGATTGTTTTGTCTCATTAAAGTTATCAAAGCTTCTAGCTGAAAATGGCTAACAACTAGATTTACTTTTTCCTCTAAAATTCCTATTTAAGTGACTCTATAAAGTGCTCCAGGCATATCTCCCACCACCACCATCCTACACACACACACACACAGTCAAAACTCAGTAGAGTTCCTGAGTGCTGCTTCTCTAAAAATAAAAAATTTTAATTGGGTATGTGATTGCCCAAAGCAAAATCTTCACAGCCTCTCTTAAAACTTAAGTCCCCTGTATTCTGGTCATAGAGATATAAGGGGAAGAGTCATGGAGGATCTTCTAATAAGAACCATTTTTTTTTTCTGGTAAAAATTGTCTGTTTTTTCTTTGATCATTTTTATTGAGGCAACAATGGTTTACAACACCGTTATGATTTGGGGGTACAGGTTCACACCTCTTCAGACATATGATACAACACACACCCACCTCCAAAGCATCCATAATCCTGCATCATAGTCCATTGGGTCCCTTTTCCCCCTTTATATCCCCCTCCCCTTCACCATTGGTAGCTTTGATTCTACAGTCAGATACCTAGGGTTCGTTTTAGTTTTTCTCTTTCTTTATTTTGTTTCTTTATATTCCACACATGAATGAAATCATTCAGCATTTGTCTTTCTCCTTCTGACTTATTTCACTTAGTATAATCCCCTCCAGTTCCATCCATGTTGTCCCAAATGACAAGAGTTTATCTTTTTTAATATCTGAGCAGTATTCCACTGAGTATAGACATCACATCTTCCTAATCCAGTCATTCATCTTCTGGGCACTTAGATAGTTTTCCATAGCTTGGCTATTGTAAATAGGGTTGCGATAATCCTGGGTCATATGGCTGATATATTTTCACTATTTGGAGAAACTTCCATACTGTTTTTCATAGGGGTTGGACCAGTCTACATTCCCACCAACAATGCAAGAGGGATTTCTCTACATCATTGCTGACACTTGTTGTTTCTTATCTTTTTCATGTGGGCCATTCTTACAGGTGAGCTGGTATATCATTGTGGGTTTGATTTACACTTCCCTGGTGATAAATGATGAGCATTTTTTCATGTGCTTGTTGGCCATTTGCATGTCTTATTTGGAGATGTGTCTATTTAGCTCTTCTGCCCATTTTTTACTGGGTTATTATTTTATGTTTTGTAGATGCTGGATATCAGTCCCTTGTTGGATGTATGGTGTGCAAATATTTTCTCCCACTCAGTAAGGTGTCTTTTTTTTTTAATGACAGTTTCTTTCATTATGCAGGAGCTTTTTTGTTTGATGTAGCCCCAGTTGTTTACATTCATTTGTTTCCTTTCTGTTGCAAATGAATCCACATAGACTTCTCTGAAGCCTATCTTATGCAGTGTTTAGCCTATGTTTTCTTCTATGTGTTTATGATTTCAGGTCTTACATCCAAGTTTTCTGTCTATTTTGAGTGGATTTTTGTGTATGATGTGAGATATTGTGAGCTTTGTTCTTTTGCATGTGCCTGTCCAGTATTCCCAACACCATTTATTAAAGAGGCTTTCCTTACTCCAGTGTATATTCTTGGCTTCTCTGTCACAGATTAATTGTACACATAGGTGTGGGTTTATTTCTGAGCTCTCAACTCCATTCCATTGGTCTGTATGTCTGTTTTTGCTCCAGTACCATACTGTCAAAGTACCATACTGTTTTGATTAACATAACTTTGTAATATAGTTTGAAGTCTTCCTGTGTGAAGCCAGCATTCTTCATCTTTTTGTCAGGACTGCCTTGGCTACTTGGAGTCTTTCATGGTTCCATATGAATTTCAATAACATTTATTCTACTTCTTTCAAAAATGCCTTTGAAACTTTGAAAGGGATTCACTGAATCGGTATACTGCTTTGGGTAAGATGGTAATTTTGACAAATTTAATTCTTCCAATATGTAAGCAAGCAGTATCTTTCCATTTCTTTGTGTCTTTTTCTATTTCTTTTAACAATGTCTTACAGTTTTCTTTGCATAGGCTCCTTTCTTGTGTTAACTTTATTCCTATTTAATTCTTTTTTGACACAGTTGTAAATAGGATTGTCTCGGATAGAGGGTTACTGAATCAGAGTGTAAATGGTATGCTTTTAATGGATAGTACCAAATTGCTTTCTAAAAAGCCTACAGCAGTTAAGGATAATTCTATATGCTACCTCATGGTGGATACTATTACTCTTTAAATTTTGAGATTCTGATAGATGTAAAGTTCAATCTTATTTTTATTCATTGTATTTCCATAAATACTTTTTTATTTTTTTCAAAGACTTATTAATTTATGCATACAAGAGCTGGGGTACAGGCCAGAGATGTGGGGGGTGAGAGGATTCACCAGAGACAGAGTGGGGAACAGAACAGGCAGATTGACTGAAGTACACTGCTGAGGGGAGCAACAGGCGAGTCAGGAGAGGTCTGCTGCACCATGTGGGTTGCATCCCAGCCGGCAGATCGAACTCATGCTGCAGAGACTGCGGACAGCTTCATAGGTTGCATCTCAACCCCTTGTGCCACCAGGGAGACCCCTATTTCCATAACTACTAATGGGTTTTAGTAGTTGCATGCTTGGAGGTCATTTTATTTCCTTATTTATGTATTGCTCATCTCTCATCCATTTTTTAAACTGGATTATCGCTTTTTGTCAATGTGTAGGAGCTCTTCATACATTATAGATTAGCCTTGTAACTGTCATTTGTGTAGCAATTTTTTTTTTCCAAATCCATCATTTGACTATTGCCTTTGTTTATATCATCTTCGGACATACAAATGGTTTAAATTTTAAATAGTCAAATAAGTTTTTTTAATAGCTTCTAAGATTCCTATCTTAAGGTCTCCTTACTCTTTTTATTTATTTATGCATACAAGAACTGGGATGTAGGCCAGAGTGCGGGGGGTAAGAGGATTCACCAGACACAGAGTGAGGAGCAGAACAGGCAGATCTACTGAAATACACTATGAGGGAAGCGGCCGGCAAAACAGGAGATGTCTGCTGCACCATGAAAGTTAGCTCCCTGGCCAGGGATCAAACTCATGCCCCAGTGGCTGGTGACAGCTTGATAGCACTGAAACTTTAACTCCTGCGCCACCAGGATGGACCCTCCTCTACTCCTGGCATAAAGTTTAGGTTGCTAGATTTGTTCTTACTGATAGAAGATGAAGTGAACTTTTCTTTCAGATGGATAGTCAATTGTGAAAGCACTATTATTTCTTCTAAGTTTACAACTTACTGATATTTAGTAAATTTACAGAGCTGTGTAGTCATCACCTCCAAAAGATTCCTCATGCCCATGCTGCCAGTCGCCTTTACTTTAAACCTGTTTTCTGCTCTTCACCTCCTCCATAGGTTTCCTGGAATTTTGCAATCCAGCTGGCATGTCTCAGGCTGAGTTTGACAAAGCAGCTGAGGAAGTTAAGAACCTCAAGACCAAGCCAACAGATGGAGAGATGCTGTTCATCTTTAGCCAGTACAAACAAGCAACTGTGGGTAAGGTAAATACAGAACGGCCTGGAATGATGGACTTCAAAGGCAAAGCCAGGTGGGATGGCTGGAATGGGCTGAAAGGGACTTCCCAGGACAATGCTCTGAAAGCTTACATCACCAAAGTAGAAGAACAAAAGAAAAAATATGGAATATTAGGGATTAGATTGGGCTGCCAGTCACAATGCCTTGCTTTTCTATTACTGTGGGCGACGTGAAATAATGAAAATACCTGTTCACACAGTTCCTCAAGACTGGCCAGGATACAGTTCTAACAGATTAGGGACTGAAGTGGTCATAGACCTTTAAGTAGCTTTTATCTGTAAGTCAATTAAAAGTGCATTTGTTACTTTAAAAAAAAAAAAAAAGATTCCTCACCCCTACCTCATGTCTATTTACCTTTTGTAGTCACTCCCTACTTTCAGGAGCAGCCATAGGTAATCACTAATCATTCCGTCTTTAGAGATTTACCACTTTGGGACAGTTCATGGAAGGGTCTTACATCCATATACATGAATGCATGTGTCCTCTTGAGCATGTAAACACACACACACTCATATACACACAAGTTTATTTGTTATATTGTTCAGTTCCCATACATTCTACTTACTTTTGCCCCCCGGAGATGTTCAATTTTGACATGTACATAATAAAATCTCTCACTATGATTTATTTATCTCACCAGTCAATAAAGCTAAAATCAAGGAATCATACAATGAACTACAAAAGCTAATGTAATTCCTTTGTTCAGCACCAAATGCATCAGAAAAACATTAAACAAATTCTGTCAATAGGACTGTCTAAAACTAAATACACTGGATTAAATTACAAGGTTTTTCCTTTTTTGTTGATATAAAATTAAATCCTTCAAGCACAAAAACTACTTATGAGATCACTTATCTCTTCCCAGTCTTCAAATGGTAATTATTTCCTTTGGTTCATTTTTAATGTGGGTTATTGTACAGCTGAAAATGAGCAATTAGGTAATTCTGTTAAAAAGACAAAAATTAGTTTTTCCTCTCAAAAACTAGAAGCCATAATACAGTGATGAGGCACCAAAACAAAATTCAGAAATTCTTTTCATGATAACAAAGTCCTGTTAGGCTAACCTACAAATGTGATTGTGAGCAAAGAATCTGCTTACATTCTTCACCGTCAAAGGACCTTTGTTATTCTTTTTGGAAACTCCTCTTCAGATGTTAAATATGTATAAAACATAATTAATTTATGGGTCTGAAGTAGTCCCATCCAGAAAGAACTGAGCCACAGATGGAGACAGGATGCCCTGTTGACCGTCTTTGCTATTAGTCTCATTGCTTTGGAGCGTGATAAGTTTTGCAGAGATAAAACTCATGAAAAACAGCACGAAAGGACAGAGTGTGCATACTATCATAACCACAGGCTTTTTGTTTTTTCTTCTTTGCATGGAAGAATTGGGGTATAGGCCAGAGGTGTGGGGCAGAGGGTGAGATGATTCACCAGAGACAGAGTGGGGAGCAGAACAGGTGGATCTACTTAAAATACTGCTGAGGAGAGCAGCAGGTGAGACAGGAGAGGTCTGCTGCACCATGTGTGGGTAGTTCCCTGGCCAGGGATGGAACTCAGGCTGCCACATTGACGGCGCTGAGACTTAACCCTTAGGCCACCAGGGAGGCCCCCACCACAGGTTTTATAATTAAATATTTACTTTCCATACATACCCACCAATCAAGTTAGGGTGTTGATCTGAGGATGGCCAAATAACTGGCAGTTTAATCTTGAAGGTGACTTGCTCCAAATCCTTATGAAGTAAATTCACCTAAACTCTTTACCTACTAGATTATTTTCCACTTTAAAAACATAGTAGTTCATTAATAAATAAAGAAACTACCACTGCAAGCTCTTATCTCCAGAGAAGGTGCAAAAGTATTTCCTTTTTCTTTTCATTTCTTTTCATTTCTTTTTCTTTTAATTTCTTTTGAATTATAAGTGACTGGTTTTGTCAAGGTAGTTTAATTTGGCCCGAAGGCATATCTGGAACATACCAAAAAGAATCTTTTCTTAAGTCTGCTCATTATTGTGTAGTTCCTTAGGTTACAAAAGAAACCAAAAATTCAATGAATAAATATATTAAACCAATTCCACAAGAAAGTTTCCTTTGAAAATTATTCCTTGCCATAATCATTCTAGTTTTATAGTTGACCATCTACCAAACGCTTTCCCCTCATTATTTCATTTAGTGTAAGGGGCGTTATTACAAGTGTCCTTTTTCACAGGTGAGAACACTGAGGGTCAGGGAAGTTAAACAACTTGTTAAGTGTCACACAGCTGCCAAGTGGTAGACAGGGGATTCGAACCCACTGACTCCAAAGCTTCTAGGAGGGTTGTCATCTATCGTGTGAATGACTTAACATGAGAGACTAAAAAAAAAAAAAAAACCAAAGTTTGGTCATTAAGGATAATAAAGACTCGGGTGTTTCAACAGAAGATGGGAGGTTGGGCGGGGAACGGGAAGCAGGTTTAGACTGGCGACTCCAGAGCCCGTTTCCTCACTGCCCAGTCTCTGGGCTGCCAAGCACTGACCCAGATGACCCCACTCCCACCGCAGGTAGAGAGCTGCTCACCTGGCAGTCCATCCAGTACGTCGCTCTCATCCAGATCCAGCCGACCGGGTCCCCGCGACTAGCAGCATCGTCTGAGGCTAGGCCTCAGCCTCCCAAGCCGTCTTCCTAGCCGTGAGGCGGTCCCCACAAGAGACGGTTCGCCCCTATTTGGTGTCAGGCGCAAACCCCTGACGAGGTCCTGACCAGTCCGCCTAGGTCCACATCTCGTGCAGGCACCTGGTGGAAGGCCGGGGACTGACCTCCTCAGCCCTCAGCCACTGGGGGCCCACAGCCACGGTCCCAGTGTCTCTTCTGTCCCACACCCACCCAGCCCGTCCCTCAGGGGCGGCTCCTGGCCTACTAACGGCCCAGGAAGCCAAAAAGCACCCAACACAGGTGGGGGAGGCGCTCTTCGGAAGCTTCCTCTCCCACCCAGGCACAGGCCAGCCCAGGCGGGCGGGCGGGCAAGAGCCCCTTCCCTCACCCAGTCACTTCCTCCCCCGCCCAGGGGCGTGTCCACACCAGCCCGGCGCCTTCGCCTACGCGGGCCAGGCCGTGCCGCCTCACACGAAGAAAACCAAATTCAATCCGCTGTCCAGACCAGGTGTTGGGCACTTTAAATACTTTAGTCAAACACCTTATTTAAAGACCTTACTTAAAAAATTTAAATATTGGGCCTTCCCTGGTGGCCCAGCGGTTGAACGCTGGGCTGCGAGGCTGCCCACAGCCTCTGCAGCGCCGGTTCGATCCCCGGCCACCGGCAAGGGTCCCACAAAAAATAAATAAATTATGTGAATGTATTATTTAAATACTTTATCTAAATATTTACTTTATTTAATGCTCTATTTATTTTCTTCTTTGTTTTTCTTTTAAAGATTTATTTATACAAGAACCGGGGTACAGGCCAGATGCGCGGGAGGGACCCTCGCCAGCCGGCATCGAACCGGTGCTGCAGAGGCTGCGGACAGCTTCACGGCGCAGGGCTCAACTGCCTGCGCCATCAGGGGAGGCCCTTTCTTGGGGTTTTTAACCTCTGATTTCACAACGAAGGAAAGTGAGGCACACGGAAAAGACAGCCAGAGCAAGGGGGATCCAAATAGTTAAACCTGCTGGCCTTCTTGGCTCTCCCACGCTTTTCCTCTCACCTGGCCCAGTCCAGAGGCAGCAGAGGTTTTACTGGAGCTCCTTGTTGTTGTTTTTTAAAAGATTTATTTATTTATGCATATAAGAACTGGGGTGTAGGCCAGAGGTTGGGGGGCGTATGAGAGGATTCACCAGAGAGTGGGGAGAGACCAGGCAGATCTACTGAAATACACTGCTGAGGAATTCACGTGGCAGTGGCTGGCTGTAGCTTGATAGCGCTGAGTCTTTAACCCCTGTGCCACCAGGGAAGTCCCAGAGTTCCTCATTTTTTAAGGATATTTTCAGCTTTCTCAGCTAACATGGTTAAAAAAGAAGTATGCAATTGGCTGGAGTCTCCCTGGTGGCTCAAAGTCTCAGCACTATCAAGCTACTGCCAGCCACTCTGCAGCATGAGTTTGATCCCCAGACAGGGAGCTAACCCACATGGCCAGCAGACCTCTCCTTACTTGCCTGGTGCTCTCCTCAGCAGTGTGTTTCAGTAGGTCTGCATGTTCTGCTCCCCACTCTGTCTCTGGTGAATCCTCTCTCTCTCTCTCTCACGTGCATGCACACACACACACACACCCCTCTGGCCTACACCCCAGTTCTTGTATGCAAAAATAAATAAATCTTTAACAGAAGTATGCAGTTGGGAAACATGGATGTTTTTAGGAAGGGGACAGAAGGAAGAAGTCCAGGTTTGCAAATAACATGCCCTAGCCTCCAGAGTTACTCTACTCAGCTCAGCAGACTTGGTTACTCTCAACTTGCCTTTGAGCACACAGACTGAAATTCAAGGCTTAGTAACCAATTTAAGGGAGATGTTATGTGTCCATACTGGAGAAGGCATCTGGGCATGTGGGCAAGTTCTATGTTCTGATAGCCCTATCCTCCACTCTCTCCCTTGATCTGTGATGTAACCACTCTGAATGGTAAATTCCTCAAGCAAAGTGAAACTAAAGCCACCCAGCCTATAGCATCACTGCCAGGGTTGGTACCTGGCATAAAGGGAGCTGCGGTACTATTTATGTAATGCCTACATTCCCTGAAGTCCAGATTTCCTAGGGTGTGGGAGGTCTCATTTTAAATGGTCCAGCTTCTCTTTCTTTTACTAAGCCTAGCTAGCATGGAAATTGTTCTTGCCACCAAAGACCCCTCTGTCCTCACTGATAACCATCATGGGCAGCCTAATTCTCAAGAATGAGTTCCTATCTCTTTCTCAAAAAGTAGACACCACTGTGGTGTTCCTCCCATCTCCAGTATCTGAAAAGCAAACTCTATCTTTACAGAACACTGTGCTCAGCAGGTCAGCCAGGAAATGCAAACTGCAGTTTCAAAACGATGAAAATTTTCCTGAAGGATTTTGCTGTGTTTTGGAGAGTGCCTCTGGGCAGATCACACACTGTGAAAGGTTCTTTCCAAATTGTGACAATTCAATCATGCCTTCTACCAATGATTGATTTTTCATACTTCGCATGGGTGATAACAGCCTTTGCTCATTTCCCCCCCAAAAT